TACGTAGCTAAAGCATGTTTATGTCCGGGTAGACTTAGGACCTTATCATGTAATATTTGAATTGTTTGAACTCATTTTTGCTGGCCTAATTAATTGAATTTACAATTGCAATTGATTTACAAATAAATATATGTAGACTAGGCCGAGTCTTATCCTTTTGAGTTGTTGGCTAGTAATTTGAGAAACGATAAAGATTATATTCCCCTTGTGCTCATGTACTGTATTGTAACCACGTGTCTCGTAATTCGGTAACTTCTTTCCTTTCTTGTGGAGCGGGCTGAACGCCTCAGTAGTATAATAGATGCATCTATGGTTCGTGCCGCTCGATCCTCGGTAATGTACACATTATTCTGGATCGGGCCGAACGACTTCGGCAAAATCGTGTGCTATATCGCTAGTAGTCCGAATATTCACAAGATAATTTTTTCACTGATGCTCGGCATTTTATATGGTATTCCTTATGTATTTGATATTGACACTTGACCATTTTCTAAGCTGTTAAGGTAGAATACAAGATCGAGAAATTTATACTTCAAAAGAAATATTTGGAAGATTATGTAACTTATAGATTTACCTCACTATCGTTATGTACTTCATATCTGTTATGGATTATTATATTATTTTATTGGACCTCTAGTAAGTGTCGATGTCGACCCCTCGTCACTACTTTTCCGGGGTTAGGCTAGATATTTACCGGGCACGCGTTGATTTACGTACTCATGTTGCACTTCTGCACTAAATGTGTAGGATCTGATAGGTTCATTTGGCGATCATCTTGGCGAGTAGGCGCACCCGTTGAGGGAACTTTATGTGAGTTGCATTTCAGGCTACGCATCGCAGTCGACTGAGTATCCATCGTACTATGTATTTATCCTGTCTATTTATATTCTGGACAGATGTTGTATTACTATTATTGAACTCCTTAAAAAATGCTCATGCACTTGTGACACGGGGTTTTGGGGTTATACTAGTTGATGCTTACGGTTTCGTATATTATTATCGATTTCCATTTTTCTTATAAACTACAAATGTTGTACGTTTCCGTGGATTTAGAAGTGCAAATATCCTTCCTTATTAAAATCTATGTTTTCGAAAGTAATAAAATAAGTAATTAAATTAGTAAATCACTGTTGGCTTGCCTGACGGCGGCGTTAGGCGCCATCACGACCTATAGTGAATTTTGGATCGTGACATTAATCACGAGTTCAAGTCCTATATTTTCATTCTTTAAAACCATGTTAGGAGATTTCAAATGAATGTGTGATTTACTGGAGAATGGCCATGCTCTGCTAGGAGAGACTTGCATTCACAGACCAAGGGATCTATATCATATGTCCATTGTTAATGCATTGCATTACCTCTGTCGAGTCCACAGTGGCCTCTAAAGGTACTAGATTGTTTGATATTGCCATCTTTAGGCCCTACAAGAAAGCTGCTAGCTCATAATGGAGAGTATTCATGCACTTGATTTTCCCCATGATCCCTGTTACCAAATCCCACATTGCTATTTCTAATTACCCCTCATATTCCCCCTGTATTTTCTTTTTGATGGTTAGCACCATCAGTGTTTAGCTTGTAACATCCCCACCCAGGGGATGCCATTTAATTGAGATAATAGTACTATGCATGAGCTCTTTTCCTCCTATTGCTATGTGCATGAATTCTACAGCCTTGTTAATGGCTACTCTAAAGAGGACAGGATCCTTCCTATAGTTGAAATTGTTGGTGTTCCTGCTTATCCAAATCTGCCACAGGCGGAAAGGGATCATGTACCCCCATTTGAGCATGTCATTGAAGGGTTGGTGCTTTACCTTATTAAGAGTGTGCACCCAGTATGTTTGGCTAATAACAAGATTTGAGATACTGAGGTTGGGTTGGCTTTGCTAAGCTAACTTCTTCCAGCATTGGTTATCATTGTCACATCTGATGAGCTGGTGCTCAACTGTTTCTTCCTCTTTGTTACAAAAGAAGCATATAGGGTTAAGATTCATATCCCTTGAGTTGAGGTATTGGGTTGTAGGGAGCCTACCATACGTTACTAACCAAAGAAAGTACTTTATCTTGTTTGGCAACTTTTGGCCCCAAACCCAGTTGAAGTCTTTCCCAGAGTTGTGATCCTGACGGTGATTCAAACTTCTTATGAGGGTATAGACAGTTTTGGTAGTGAAGAGACCACTTCCAATTTTGTTCCAAGCCATCCTGTTCAAATTTCCAGAGTTAAAGATTTACAAAAGTGAAATTGATAGTAGTAACTACCTCCTCACGGAGGTCAAAAGAGAGATTACTGTCCCTCTGTGTAGCAAGACTCTTTTAAGTTCAAACTCTCCTCTCCGTATTGAGCGACTGTAACGCATATGCAAAAAGAAATTAAATATACATGTAAACACTAATATACATGTAAACACTAAACTAAGCTCGCTATAAAATTGTAGAAATCCATACTGGTCTATTTTGTGAACGTTTGATCAAGGACACGCGGCATCATCAGACCAAGGCAAAGCAATCAGCTCATTTGTCCCATATACAATACTCAGACAAGATCCTAGGTTACTCCATCTTCGTTCAAATTCCAGCTCGACCTGCCGGAGCTACCGGAGTAATTTTTCCGGCAACAAAACGCTACAGTTCTCTTCACTTCATTCCCTGTTTTCCGACTATTTTCTCGTGAAAAAACTAAAATTAGCTAAGAAGAAGAAAATGTCGGTGCAAGAATATCTGGATAAGCACATGCTTTCTCGGAGAATCGAAGATGCCGTTAATGCCGCCGTCAGAGCTAAGACCCTCGATCCCGTCCTCTTCATTGTAAGATCCTATTTCTTTTTAACTTCTCTTTTTGGTGCTTTGATTCAAAATTAGCAGTTTCAATAACCCTAACTGTATGCTTGATAGTCAAATCACATGCGGAAATCTGTACCGTCGGTGATAACGAAGGTGAAAGCGCGGCAAATATTGGACAGTAGAGGAATTCCGACTGTCGAAGTTGATCTCCACACGAATAAAGGCGTTTTCCGTGCTTCTGTACCTAGTGGTGCTTCTTCTGGAATGTAGGCCATTTTGATT